TAATACGTTTGCAAAATCATAAGATATAATTTGGGGACAGAGAATGCACAATGAGCTCGCCGTTACACCTACCCGGCTATATCGTTGATCTTTGACCGCATGTTGCCGGCGTACTCACTCACAAGAGCATTTTTCACCTCAAGGAGCCGCGTTAGTTTTACACTGGGTTCTGATTCGGCACATTCGTCTAAAAACGAACGAAATATATATAACGCAAAACGCTAGAAAATGACACTTTTTGACATTTTATTTAGGTGTTAAATAATCTTTCGTTATTCGAGGTTATTAGTACAGCGGTATTGTTTTTCTTTCTCATACGGAAAGAACTCCACCTCACGATGTCAGGTAACAAAAGACTTCACCAAAACTGCGCGCCGGTGTGTTTAGTGTACTGTGTTTACTGTACAACTAGTTTTTCTTCTTCCTTATTAATATGAACTATTCATGAACCGACAATCAAATTAATTCTTGAAACCAAGACAACACGCCCTGAAGTCACCGATGTTTATGTATTCTTCCTCAAAAAGAGGACTAACCTGGGTGTTTTATATTGTTTACAGGGCCAAAAGTTGAATTTCAGTTAGCTTCAACTAAACCGCTTAGGTTGCCTAGAAGGCTGGGTCTCCAGCTTCGAAAACTGCTCTCACCTCTAGTTGCAAGACGTTCTTCCCCAATGTCAGCCAAAAAAGGAAGAAACTGATTGGATAAAACGTCAGAGTGTTGAGTGCAGGTAGTTTTCACAGCAGTAATAACTATACCCCATGCAGTTTCTGCCTCTTCTGTGACGTCTTTGTGTAAGCTATCCGCTGAGATGAATTGCAAATGGATAAATTAAATAAGAGAGGCCAACGCGAAGGGAAAAAACTTGCAAAATTTAAAATAGAAACGATAACTTCTTCTATTTGAAACCTTTTATTCCTTCCAATCCTAAGGCCAGGGAAAAGAGAGTATGAACAAGCCGACCGTCCATCAGATCAGCGACCGAAGTCATGTCTAGGGAATGGCTGGCAGCGGTCATGGAGGGGTACTCATCCTGTATGACCTTTAAAATTTCCCACAAACATTTGTGTATCTGTTAGGGAAATATAAGTACAAGGACTTAAAACAACACGATATAACATTTTCTCATGAGAAATCACAGCAAGTACTCAGAACATCGAAGAGCTCCCGAGTTGAAATCTCCGCCTGAGTTGAGCTCTTCATTTTTTGCTCCACCTTTTTGCATGCTTTTTAGTACAGCGTTTTCATACCATGTACCTGATCAGCAACACAGGTCGACCCATTCAGATTACATGGCATGACAAAGATGTTAATTTTATAGATTCGCCCTTTCTTTAATGGCTATCCATATGAGTACCTTTTACTAGCAGAGACGTGATAAACTATCGCCTCAGTTTAAGTATTCTCAACCTTTTTGTCACACTTACCTCATCGAAGTTGTAAAATTGACCATCCTGTGTTTCACAGAATGTGGTCAACAAGCAACCTTCAATTAAGGTATGCGCTCTGTACTTCAACGGCAGTTTCTTCAGTAGTAGAGAATGTAGCAGGAAAAGTTTGACTCTGTCTTCTGCAGTTTTCGCTGCTTCCTATATGCACCACACAATATTTATAAACTGCATATCTATCATATCAAGCTAAATAAGAACTTAATGTGTAATATATCAAAAACGGCGTTCATATTTTGTTTTCCATTCTTATTAACAGTTTTCACTCACAAGATCTCAAACGGCCTAAATGTTATGTTAAACCCCTAAAACGTACGCGTGCTGCTGGATCAGTTGCAAAGTATCGCTAACGGATCCTTTTCAACTATTTATTAGTATAAATTTGTCACAGACCTCCGCATTTTCCTAGTTTTCTTTTTCCTTTACTTTTAGGGGCTAACAAATGCCGCTGGACTATCTGCTCCAATCAGCGCAAAAACCGTGGCAACTTCATGGTCCGCCTCGACGTAATTCGTAACAAAAACAGTCCTACGCGTACGATATGGATTGCAATATCTTCTTAACCATCCATATTCTCTTCTACCTGACCTACAAGCACCAGAATTGTGACATTCGGGTCTAAAACTGCAACAAGAACCGAATCATGCGCTACACGTACTTTTAAGGTCAACTGTACATGTGCGAAAGCCGCTGAAAATACAAGAGATCTGGAACCTAAAATATTATAAAAATAATCAAGATCAAATTTTAGTCTTTCTAGGAACGCTTGATGAACGGGTTTTACTGTAAGGGTACTTCAATAAGTTGACTGATATACAACTTCACTTACAGCTCCAACCAACTGATAGGCCAGTTTCGAATTATCACAATTCATACTTGGCCCCGAGGCTGAGGGTTATAAAACAAAAGAATGAAATGTTCATCCTTGAATCTCAATACCATTTCTTTTGTTTGATGCCTTTCAGCTTCGGAGCCAAAGATGAATTTCAATAATTCGAAACTGGCCTATTTAGGTACCTTGCTGACATTAGGGTCACTGAAAATTTTATTGA